AATTTTTCACTCATTACATCGTGTGCATACATTACTTTGTGATGCTCGTTTGTGTACGTCTGTCTGCGTGTACCTGCACAGGGCTGTTTGTAACACAGCTGGGTCTCCTCTCTGTTCCTCTCCGCCTCAATCTCAGTAGGACATGCTGCATCACCTCCCTCCTCACACACACACACCCTGCGCCGCGCCACAGACCCTGCGCCACAGCTCCGAGAACACGGTGACCATGGCGACCAGGGGCAAAGGTCATCTGGAGACAGAAAGTTACGATCGGAGTAAATATGAACTGTGTTTTCCAGCGTAAACAGTCTTTTCCAACCCGGTGCATACAATACGGACAAAACTAGGATATCTATATATATGGGCTTGTATTTGAAAATAGAGAAGTATGCACTGCATAACTGTGGCATTTATGAGAATATACAAACCCAGACAGGGAGGACTATGACAGTCCTGGGTCTCTCTCTCTGGCCCACTGCAGTCAGACCCATTGTTTCGTGGTGGGGGGTTGATGCAGGCACGGCTTCGGACATGTGCCCCCTGTCCGCATGTCACTGAGCAGTCCGACCACACTGACCAGGGGGTCCACCCACCATCCACTGACGACAACACACACAACTTTGTCATTTGCGATGTATTACCACTACTACTACATCTCTAATTTTCTACCAGGAGATTTGGCTGCCTGCTAAGACAGACAAATGTTTCGAGATGTTTGCTATATAGTGCATTTACTCTTTGTCTTTAATAGGAATGCAGTGACCCACCTCTGCAGTCGATGTCCTGGCAGTAATCTCCCTCAGGGGTGCATGTGCTAGAGAGGCAAAATAGATGAGAAGGAGCTTGGAACACAGACAGGAATGTAATTTCCTTTTCAGTTCAAACCCTTTACCAGCCATATATTCCTTTCCACTGTGTTTGTACTCATCAGTCTCACCATTGTTTACACTCTCCCTGCAGCCAGGTGTGCCCCACGCTGAGCTCCTGGTCGTCGTGCACACAGAGGGGTGGACAGGAGCCTGGGCTGCAGGATTTATGCTGGACTTCTTCAAACTGGCAGTCTGCTCCTTCAGTCTCCGGGACCAGAGACCTGACACAACAAAAACTTACTTTAGCTTGTTAGCTTTGCTTGAATGCTCCCTTTCCTCCAGGTTTGTATTGTTCATAGTTTAGTTAAGTTGGTATCAGAAGTTGATGTGCAGCTGCTTTTCTTGTGTGCATACATAATATTAAAAACAGGCATGAGGAATAATTGTTATTATTATTATAATATTTTGTAAAATCTCTGCATAAAAATCGCAAATTGAGTGGAAATTATATAAAACCTTTAAACAGGTCATTTGTACCTGTATCTGGTTCTCTGGCCCTGCCCGCAGGTAACGCTGCATGACGCCCAACTGGACCAGGAGCTCCACACGCACGTCGCCTGGCAGCTGTTGTTGGAGCAGAGGAGCTGTCCATCGGAGCAGCTGCAGTTGTTACAGTCCACCTGATGCCAACTCCCGGCCGCCCAAATCTGTCCGAGCGAGTCCACACAGTCACACTGCCAGAGCTGCACGCACATCCCGTCCTGCTGCAACTGGCCTGCACACACACACACACACACACACACACACATAAGTTAGTCATTTACACAATGTACCGTATTAATGAACTGAAACTAGAGTGCAGCTGCTGGTTTAAAGTATCTCGCTATTCACTAACTCCGCCTGTCTGCAGTTTAGTGCTGTGCAGATGGTTTGCAATGGATTTTTTGGGCTAAAAACATCTGCCCTGTTGTTTCTGAAAATGTGAATGATTACAGTAATGTGACTTACACTATACTAATAAAGATGTGGGCTAAAAGAAAAAAGAATCCTGAGCAGAAGGATGCTAAAAAAAAGCTTGCAGATATTGGACGATAATTCTCTCTGACGACGACACTATGAGCGACACCATGAAGCAGATAGAAATATTTATTAGTGCTATTAATCTCCACCGTATCAGAGCATGGGCGCTCCTCCCAGAGACAGATATCTGAATACAGTGTGTGTCGATAATATATATTAAGCACACAACACCTCAAAGTGTATTCAAAGCAGCTCATAACCAGTCTTGGGATCGAACTCACCTGTTTAGCCACGAGCTCAAACACACATACAGATGAATGGTGCTTATCTGTTCAGCAGCAGCAGGCCCAGGACCTTGAGGGAAGAGTCTCTCAGACAAACACACACAGTGGCTTATCTGTTAATTAAAATAGAGAGCAGTCTTCGTACCTTCAGGGCAGCGACAGCCGGGCTGACACTCGGTGTTGCCCTGGCACTCGATGCCCTGCTGGAGGTCGGAGCAGCGCTGTGGACACTGGTTGGCACACAACACAAACTCCTGGCCTGGCGGGCAACCTCTCTCATCTAGACAAGGAAGTACACAAGCAGAAGGTCATGATTTTATTTTTTTTACTTTTTTTACCCCATGATGCTACAGGCCTTTTCTTCACCTAACACACCTCAACAAGAATGCTGATAACAGGCTGTGCTGACTTTTCAAACACAAAGGTGGACCTGAGAAAACAGCCACATGCTGAATGAACTAGCAGCCACCAATGCACAGGATGAAATTCTAACTCAACAAATATTTTCTGTTCCTCACCACAGGGTTTGGTGTTGCAGGGTTTGACCTGGTTCTTCTCTCCTACACACTTTTTGCCCCCGTTCTTGGGTGGAGGGCTGGAGCAGGAGCGAGTGCGTATGGAGCGTCCACCACCGCAGCGCTTATCACAGCGGGACCAGGGACTCCAGCGTGACCAGCCTCCGTCCACTGCAATGTCCAGACACAGAAGCAACCATGACGACGAACACACACCACTGAATCCCAACCTCGGTGAGGAGACTTGGTGTCTGTCTTTTAGTTAGCAGGATTATTAACAGATTACCACAAGACTTGGTGGAAGGAGGCGAAGCGGATCAAGGAAGAACCCATTACATTTTTGGTGAGGACGCAGATCAGGGGCCACTTTCACCTTCTATAAAATTGCCAGGCGTTTGACATTGTCTTTGATTTCTCAAAGAACAACTCTTGGTTCTTGATGAAAAAATTCCAGCATGTTTGGGGAACTGATATTTAAGAAAATGTAATATGGTGCCAATCCTTGTAGCCCATTTGAA